GGAGCGTGAGGCCATACTCCGTGAGATTCTCCTCAAGAGTACTGGCAACTTCATGCCAAAGCTACCAAAGGGATTTGGAGAAACCTTAGCCAACAAGTATGCTTGCAACGTGCGAACTATTCGTCGAATTCATGCACAAGCCAAAGCGAACGGAGCAATGACTGGCAACATGAAAGTGAATGTGTCGAGCAAAAAGAAGGGGAGAGTTGGTCGAAAAAAAGCATTCACACCAGAGCAACTTAAGACCAAACTTCTATCAATTCCACAAGGCAATCGTACAAATCTCCGCTCCATCTCTGAACAGACCGGTAAGCATGACATGTACATCGCAACCTAAAATGAAAAAGGAGTACCATTGGCAACGCTGCACCGTTACCTGAAGGCGGGAATTTTTCGTGCCCACTCCAATGCAATCAAGCCTATGCTAACTGAAGCGAACAAGTACAGCCGCCTACAATTTGCAATGAGTCATGTCAAGGCCGACAGGTCCATGAAGGACTTTCTGAATTGCGTGCACCTTGATGAGAAATGGTTCTACATCACCAAAACCTCGCGCAAATTCTACCTGGTTCAAGGAGAGCGTGAGCCGGAACGAAAGTGCAAGAGCAAGAGATACATTACCAAGGTAATGTTTTTGTGTGCAGTGGCGCGTCCCCGCTTTGTCGATGAAAGCGGCTCCTGGTGGAACGGGAAAATTGGTTGCTGGCCATTTGTCACTCATGTCCATGCCCAACGTTCGAGCGTGAATCGACCTGCTGGAACCCTTGAGATGAAACCTGTCAACGTGACCAAGGATGTGTACCGGTCGTACTTGATTGACCATGTTCTTCCCGCCATTGTATCCAAGTGGCCAGAACCTACAAGGACTGTCATTCTTCAGCAAGACAATGCCAAGTCGCACGTGACTCCAGACGACTTGCTCCTCTGCGACGAATTTAAACGCTACAGAGAGCAAGGTTGGTCTCTTCTTCTTGCACCTCAACCGTCAAACTCACCTGACACAAACGTATTGGATCTTGGTTTTTTCGCGGCGATTCAAGCCCTACAATATCGTCAGTCAGCTCGAACAATGGAAGACCTCGTCCGTCATGTCCACGAAGCGTTCGAAGAATTTCCCTTCTCCCGTCTTGATCGGACGTTCTTGACGCTTCAGTGCTGTCTGCTTCAGATAATGGGTCAGTTGGGAGACAATACGTACAAGGTTCCTCACCTGTCGAAGGAGAAGCTTGAACGCCGTGGTTTGCTGCCCCATGTCCTGACTTGCTCTGCGGAGGTTTTCAACTCTGCAAAGATTGCATTGAGCACTGCCGACTCTGCTCAAATGGATCTTACCATCGCCGCCGAGATGAAAGAGGCAAGGTTGGTGGACGAGCTGTCCGTCTTGCTTGAGAATGTCGCTCTGGAGGATAGCTCCTCCGATGCATCTGTAGAAGACATCTTGAATGAAGTA